CCCCAAAACCCCAAAACCCCAAAACCCCAAAACCCCAAAACCCCAAAACCCCGACTTAGTTATAAAATATTGAATTAAAACCAAAAGGATGCATAAATCTTCACTTGAGAAGCCAATGGAAGATCAGGACTTCCCTCAGATGGATAATCAGCCGATTTCTGACAACAGGATTTCCTGTGTGAGTGTGCTGCTGATTTTCCAGTGCTGGTGCCACATTACGTTCACAGTTTTAGGCCTGCTCATATTCTTCTTCACAGTCTCAACATGGACCGATCTAGGAAGTAAGGATATATTCGTCGAGGATCATATTAAATAACTGGAGGTCTAAGCCTATAATTGACATTATTGCAACTGACTCTGCCAAGTGCCCTAGTGGATATGAGAACTTGATCAATCGAGATTTTGGCACTGTTGCTGGCTGAGATTGCATTGGAATCAAATCACAGGAGGACAAAATCCATATTGGCAGTTGTGATGTTACAAAGGCCACTGATGGATGCCATAGTATCCTTCCTATGGATAAAACTACGCTAAGCAAATTTTTCTCGAAGAATATTTGCGGGCTCAGGTCGGGGCAGAACTTCATTGATTTTGAAAGACCCAAAATAGTCAAGGATCGCTATACTTGTACGGAGGGCAAATAGAATTTGTGGGAGTGGGAATATTAATACGTTATTTTGAATTGATGAAACCCAGAATTGACCTATTAATGATATTTATCTCATCGATAGCAACACGACTTATAGTAAAGATTACACACCGGTAATACTTTCTCCTGATTATTTGTTAATTTACACCCGGAATGGTGCCTTTCTTCCAGTGGTCAGGTTCCAGCTAACTGAAGGGAAGGTGTGCTTTAATTCAAAAGGGTTTCAGACATCTAGACATCGAGAGCTCTATCCTCTTGTTGACTATGACAAATGATACAGAAGTCTTAGGTATAAGCCAACAGATCCGAGATACAAAAATATTGGGAAAATTAGAGAGGATAAGCTCTTTATGGATAATGAAATTTATGATGTTGTCGCTGCACTTCCTGATTACCCTATTGAGGATTCAAAGAAGTTCTATTGGAACCTCTATATCAACTCCTACTTCTATTGGAGTAACTTTTGTGACGAGCATGATGATACTACTCGGGAAGTTTTCATAAAAATCTTAGATGGCATAATAGATGTTAAAAAGCAGAATGATTACATCCTAGAAACTACTATTTTTCATGCGTTTGCAATTTGAATTGTTCTTCAATACTTTTTCTGATATTTTACAACATCAGTGTTTAATAACAGGAATAAGATAAATTCCCCGATGAGGACGCTGTTCCACTTATTCACATATCCCCTGAAAGTAATTGGACTGATCTTCTTGATCTACTTTTCGGCTCATTGTTTTAAGACGGTTACTGCATTCCAGGACACTATGGTATCGGTGACTGTATCAGAATGAAGTCCTGATTTTACCACACAGGCTTTCTTTGCGTATGAAGAGTACCTCCAGAAGGTTTACTCCATTACTACAAGAGTGATCATATTCTCGTCCCTAAGCTTGGTCTGTGTCTTCTTTGACCTGATCTGAGAGCTTAGCATCAGAGGCATCTTGAGGTCAACCTATGGAAAATTATTTAGTGAATATGTTGAATAAATTCAAACGACTATTTTTGATCTGGGGTTTTGGGGTTTTGGGGTTTTGGGGTTTTGGGG